GACTCTGCGAAAGAAACAGCAGCAAGTGTTCCTCACTGCTGAGTCATCTCATCAAGTCATCAAGCACATTTTAAAGACAAACTCTTACATTGAAAAGCAAAGATTTTATTTGTAAGTCTATACAATTGGTCATGGTGGATTTCACTGGGATCCTTTCTTACGCCTCTCTATCTATGATTCCTTGTAGTCTAGTTTGATTCCTACAGTCAGAAAAAGCAACAAGAGTAACTGAATGACTACCAATATACATTTCTTTACTTATCGGAAAAGTTTACTAACTTCAGGGACTATGGTGGGCCAGCACTACTCTAATTATATTAGTTTTGTGGAAAGGAATGATTCCAGATCATTCTTTTCTATTAAATATCATCAAGTTGTTATAGAAGTCATGGAGGAAATTTTTTTTAAGAAATTGAAACAGTCATCAGATGAAAGCCCACTTAGATTTCTTCGAAACCTTACCCACATTAAAATCGAGGGAAATGAACAAAGAACGGTGCTCCAAGCCATTCATTCTACTGTTTTTCTCATTCAAAGAATCAACGCTCCCATCAATGAAAATAGAAGAAAAATCAAGGCGTGTTTATCTGTGACAAGAGTACATTACAATTGCCCGGTAGAAGGAAGCACAGTGAGATAATGGCAGAGATAAGTGACAATTTCTTTACCAAATATAGCTATCCATTTTTTGACCTGAGCTTTTTCACTCCCTCCCATCCACCCATTCATCCACTATTAAATCTGTCAGTCTGTTGATTTGTTTATTTTTGCATCTGGTCCCCTGAAAAAGGGACTTGTATGCCTCTATGGGGCCTTTGGATTTAAGCCACAACCTTGGACTTTTGTGTCTTTCCACCATGTAATTTTATCCAAAGACCCTGAACGATTGTAGTATAAGGTACTTCGCGATCCTGATGCCCCTGCGCCGATTCCTTGAACAGATCTAGTCTTTAGTTATGCTTTTGCATGTTTTTCTAGGACCACTTAGGCACTTCCACAACCACTTCAACAGAAATAAGAAAGCTTGTGGTATTAGTTCAAGCTGAGCCCATTACCAGGTTGCTTGTCTCCGATCAGATCCCAATGTCGTCTGCTCATCCTATCTTGCATCCTGCCATATTCCTGTGGCTTCTGCTCACCCTCCTTTGCCTTCTATTGTATCCCCTTGATTTCTGTTCACCCTGTCCCACCTCCTATCATATCTCTGTGTGTTGTTAGAGGCTGCTAGTTGGTTTCAGGCTGCTCGGCAGCTCAGACCCAAAACAATCACACAGAAACAATATTATTTAAATCACTGCTTGACCCATTAGCTCTAGCTTCTTATTGGCTAACTCTCACATATTAATTTAACCCATCTCCACTAATTTGTACATCACCACAAGGTCATGGCCTATCAGCAAATTTTCAGCATATCTGTCTCTGGCAACTCCATGCCTTCTCCCTCAACTTTGCCTCCTTTCTCCCAGCATTCAGTTTAGTTTTCTCCACCTACCTAAGTTCTGCCCTATCAATAGGCCAAGGCGGTTTCTTTATTAACCAATGGTATTCACAGCATACAGAGGGGAATCCCACATCACCTGTGACTTCTGAGCACCCTGTCCTGCCTCCTATCTTGTCCCCGTGTCTTCTGCTCGGCCTGCCCCACCGCCTATCATATCTATACAACTTCCAGTCACCCTGTTCTACCTCCTGAAAGAGTGGCATTAAGAAAATTTAACTAGAAAACCATCAGTCCTGAGGTATCATTTTGATAAGAAATAGGATTGAATTTAAGTCCTCAATGATGGGTTTTTTTTCACCCCTTTGCACTCTGCATCTTGGCCATAAGCTCCTTTTTCTAACTGTACCCAGAACTGAGCCCAGTTCTTTCATATCCCTTCTTGCCATATACCAGTAGTCAATAACTTATTTTCATAATCTCAACTATTGTGATCCTGTTTTTTTATGAAAAATATTTATTTTACTTTCAATTATGTATGCATACATGCATGTATGTCTGTATGTATGTATGTTGTAAATGTCTGTGTGGGAGTATGCTCATGCATGCATACAAGTGTCTGAAAAGGACAGAAGAAAGCATCAGATTTCCTGATATTGGGGTTATAAATGATTATGAGCCACCTGATGTGGGAGCTAGGAAATGAACTCAACAAGCCCCACATGTGCTCCTAATTGCGGTGTCATTTCTCCAGCCCCGTCTAGTTTAGCTTTTTATTTTAACACAATTTTTTTAAAATTATTTTTGACATACTGTCTGGTGTTGCCTGGACTGCCCTTAGAATCATTACATCACCAGTGATGACCTTCACTTTTTGAGCCTCTTGTTTCTACCTCCCCATTATTAGGATGCAGCCATATTCAGCACATCCAGTTTCTGCAGTGTGGGGGCAGAAGTCTAGTGCTTTCTGTATGCTAGTTAAGCACGCTATAATGAGCTTCATTCCAAGGCAGATGGTTATTGTTATTTTTTATAAAGAATTGGGATATTCAAAAAACAAAATTCTGCGAGCTCATTAATCTTTTAAGGTTCTTAGCATCCATCATTTCATGATGATTTCTGTTTTAATTGCACAATAACTCTGGATAGGTAGGCGGGCATTTTTATCTCTTTCTTTCAAGTTATAAAATTGAGGTACGGAGAGGTCAGAATCCAAGAAAATGAGAAAAATGAACAGGAAAGCCAAGGTCTCCTAATTTCCAACCCTAGGTCCTTGCATAAAGATGAGGGCAGTTCTCTGGGAGTTTCGAAAGAGAATGTTATTGATGGCTTCAGGATAGAAGGGTTCTGATATATTTGACTGTTGAACAGTGCATCCAGCACCATGCTAAGTAATGTGAATTCAGGAATATAGAAGAAAATCTCAGAGCTTTGTGCATGAAAAAATGACACAGAAGAAAAGAAACAAGTTCAGACTGGCTTCTAAGTTTGCAATCAGAAATGGCTAGAACAGCCACCTCGTAACTATGTGACTTTGAATAATAGACAAAAATATCCAAATAACTGTTAAGATTTTTTTTGTGTAGAATGTTAGTCTCATTGCTTGCTATGTGCTATGGGTTTGTATAAAAATTTCAGCATTTAATAAGGCAGGCTCCTTGCTTTAATCTGTCTACTGCAAAGTTAATCTTTAAGATCTGCCTTATACAGATCTTAAACGATGATTGAAGAAATGTAGCATAAACAGATGTATAATGTAAACACTGAAGATACACAAAATTAGATTCTATCATAAATATGTGTTACATAAATGCTGTAGATTATGAGTTTAAAAAAAAGAACAGGAAAGAAGGAAATGGAGCATTTGACTTGTCAAACACAAACAAAATATTTCTAAGTTTTACTTTGTTTTGAAATATTATAAGAGAACAGGAAAACATCCACTTTATTTTTCTCTTCCTCTTCTCTATCTAGAACAAGCATCCAAGGTTCCAAACTATTATGGACATTGTAGGTAATGGTGCTAGAAGGACAATTTTTCATACAATTGCATTCCCAGGTAAGACATTGCCATGTCCTTCCTCTCAATCACTCTGGGGATTTAGGAATAGGAAGAGGGTAAGCAGTGTTTCTTAAGGGAAGCTCAGGCTTCTGGCTTTCTCATTCTATCTCCTGTTTATGCAGAACAGTATTAGTTAGCTACCGCTGGGTCTTTCCCCAGCAAAATCATTCTTTTTTTTTTTTTCTGGTCTAATTTGTTGACAGAATGTGAACCCATGAGCATGCAAATTGTATAAATTGGTGATAAGATTGGAGAAATCCACAGGCCTCCCCTAAGGGCTTAAAATTAAATTCTGCTTCTATGCAGATTACTAGAGAATGTTCCATCAAGAACTGTCCATGAGATATGGGGAAAACTTGCCTTAAGTGCAGCCCTGCTATCCATTTCCTGTTTCCTCCTGTAGGTTAGTAAAGCTCTGGGTACCACCTAAAGGAAGACTAGCAATGTGTGTGCCTGCATCAGTATCTGTGTGTATCTGTGTGTATTCATGTGTGCCTGTATGTGTCCATGTGTTTATGTTCATGTATGTCTTTTGTTCCTGTGTATGTGTGCCACTAGGTGTCCATGTGGGTCTGTGTGTGTACTCCTGTGTGCGTGCCCATGCTTATGTGTGTATATGTGTATTCTTGTGTGCCTTTGTGTAGCTGTATGTTCATGTATATCTTTGTGTGTACATTTGTGTCAACTCAGTTGTGTGTGCTCACGTGGTTGAGTTTGTGTGTTTGCATGTACATGTGTTTATTTATGTGTTCACGTGCCTGTGTGTTCATGTATACCTGTGTATGTTTGTGTGGGTATATATAAAAGTGTGCATTAGGTGTGTGTTTATGCTTAGAAGTGAAAACTGTGGGGCCTAACTGACGCACCCTGGCCAACATAACTTTGACATTACAGTTCTTATAATGTCTGTCACAATTTGCATTTCTTTTTTTTTTCCTTTTTTTCTCTTCACCCTCCTCCGCCTTCTACTTTTCTTCTTTGAGGGAAGACACCACTCCCATGCTACCTGACAGGTGCCAAAACAGTGCCTCAGAATAAATCATTTGCTCCCTGAGAGGCCACTGCTAAACAATGAGCCCAGACTTAAACCAACTTGGTGCCTTCTGTATTAGTTCTCTTCTTTAAGCACAGTTTCCTCTCCCATGCCTCTAACTTGGCCAACACTATCGTCCTAATAACAAATGTACTTTGTTAATTTTCGTGACATGACAAACAATAAACACAAGTGTGAGATTTGATTCAAGATCAAGCAAGTTTTAAAGTGTTACATAAACTGAAAATAATCCAATATGAATCATGTCTTGGAAGAAAATATGTAATCCATCAGACACACTATGGCAAATGGAGGAGTTTATCCAAACAGTTCCCTTGTTTTCCTTACTATGTTATATGTAGTTGTACATGACAGTCACAGAACTGAATTCTTGGCAAACAATCATGTATTAATTGGACACTTTTCTCATGGTGAAGGGAAGAAACATTGCATATCAAAGAACTTACCGCTGCTTGCCGATGAGTGTTGGACAATATCCCATGAATCTTCACTTTGTCTTTCTCCATTTGGTCTATGTTCACCCACAGATCTCGGCTGGCAGAGTCCGTTGGGCCATATATTCGAGATATGTAGTAATTGTGATCTGTGTCCTCCTGCATGGGTGGAGAATGGCGAACATTAAAAACTGTTTCCGTTAATTTTATATTTAAGAGTTCTTCTGTAATTAAAGATTTCAGTGATCTCTAATCTAGCAAATAGTTTAAGTAGAATCATACAGAAATAAATTGAAATGAAAATTAAATATGTAAAATAAATTCTTTTCTTTAGAAGAAACAGTTAAATACAAAAAAAACTTACAATCAAATTTATATTCTGTGCACCATGTATTTCTTTTTTATGATAGTAATAGTAGACACTTAACTGCTGACAAGACAAAAACATCTGATTTAGAAATATTTAGAGAAGATCTGAGTTATAATTACATTGAGCAACAACAAAATTAATTTATTCTTTAAAAACATTATATTTTGGACTGAATTTAGTTAATAATATTAAAAATTCAGGTAACTGCTTAATTGGGTTATTAAAACCTACTTTTATTTGAATTCTCATTATGGGTCTCATTATAGTGCTTTGTACAGGGGTTTTATTTCTCATGCTCCCAGCTCAATGGGGAAGGTGAATGTTGTAAAAGCATATGACACTTGGGTAAAGCAGATCATATACATATGTTAGCCACAAACTGGAACAATGTCTATCACGGGCTTGTGGATGGCTCCTCCATGGATAAGTAAGCATTTGCCAGGAAGCATGGAAATCTCTGTTTGGGTCTCAATTATACAATAAAAGCCAGACATATCACATGCATCATTTTAAGAGATATTTAATTTCATGCTTAATTATATGCATTTATATTCACTTTTTATATGTATTTTGTCTGACATTGAGGTGAATATGTGCAAAATGAATAAAGAAGGTTTTCTTTGATTTGGGCAATAATGTTTTGGAAGTGAATTCTGTCTAATACATTTTTTATCAAAATGTTTCTAGAATAAAACTGAGGTGCCAAGCCATTCAGTCAAAACCAGAATCTCATGTATGTATTTACAGATCACCAGGTCAACGTGTACAGAAACTGATTATAGAAAGTATAAGAAGGCTCACGTCTAACCAATATTCAAAGGGATTTTGCATTATTCCTAAAAGAAATAATACAATTCAACACAAAAATATTGATGGGAATAGATGTAAACCAGAAATTGAGTTTTTACTTAATAAAATTTGTAAGAAAAATTTTAGTTAAGTTTTGGGTGCAAGAAACTTCTTCTGAGATAGAAGAATATAGGAGATTAAAGGACATGGAAATGAGATGTTCTGAAGCTGGGATGATGGGCAGCCTCGTGAATTCCAGGTCTTTCTTTTAAAGTGGCATGGCAAAATGCAGGAGACCCAAAACATTGTGATGTGTCTCCTAGTACCTGCTGCTCTCCCACTGGGACATCTTCACGAGAAGGAGAATAAGCCATGCAATTTTACCAGCCACAAAAATCAGCAGACATGTGTGAGCATCAATGAAAGATGGACCATTCGCAAGGTGTTTACAAGTCCAGAGGATGCAAAGTCCCGTATTCTGCTTATGGGACATCCACGTGAGATTTGTTACAGTTGCCATTTTGGCATCATGAGGAGACTGCTGAAAATAAAAGTAACACACATAGAGAAGGACAAAATGGCAAACACTAAAGGAGAAGTTCTCTCTCTGGTAATGTTTATCTGCATGTGATTATATGAATGCACTTGCTCAACTGCTTTTTATCATACCTCACCATAATAGAGGAATACTGATATAAAAAGCATAGCTCTTATTCATAATAAAACTTAAACAAGAGAGAAAAAATGATTTTAAAGACTGTTTAGGTCTTGGTAACAAACACATAACTCAATTCTTGCATTCTACAGAGTCACAGAGCAAAAATGGAGCCTTATGTAACTTGCCAAAAGGCATCAGGTCTGAACAGCAAATAATTCTAACTTATTTGGTTTTAGTGAGTATTAGAAAAAATGGCTTTGAAGAAAATACTCAATGAATGAGAATTTGTTATGAGTTTATTATAAACTGTAATTAAGCTGGGTAAAATTAAGATTTACAATACAATACAATAAGCATACTGTGTAACTGATTATATGATGTGGTGAAATTCATATGAAATTAGCAATTCATAAAGTTTCACCAATTAAGATTAGAGTTCAGTATAAAAGACAGAAGTCAACATTTAAAGGGATTGCTTTCTCCTTAATCTCTGTAATTATTTAAACAAATAATTTTTGTTATCATGACTATTAACAATGTAACAAGATAATGAATTATGTGAAAAATTATGTACAACTTTGGCTGCAATATATATATTGCATGGGGCTATGTGAGACTATGCCTTTAATTTTCAGCTAAGTTGGAATTTTTCAAAACAATACCAGGTCTTGAAAACATGAAGTTAAGCTAAAGATTTGGTACTGACTTCTATAGCTCAATTTTGCCAAGTTGTCATGGCAACTTTTATTCAAAGATAAAAGCAATTTATTGTTTACCTAGAAGAGTAGACACACAAATTGTTAAACCCCAGAGAGGCATTTGTCTCAGGCACTCAGGAAAGCTATAAAATAGATGTCTCAAAAATGTGAGATTTTAGCATCAATAAATTATTCAAACTACTTTTTGTCATTTTTAGGCATAATGACTCTTAGAGAGTTATTGAAAGTCACTTTGGGCACAAAGATTTTTATTTTCTCTTCTAAAGCAAAGCTATTTCTAACACCAGAGACAATAAAGCAAAGGACTACTGTGATGTGACTACTTGCCAATTCATTTAGGAAACCAAATGTTACTGAAAGTAGATGGCGCAGTGGGTGACTCCAAATGCTATAAACTCAGGTTGTCAACAACTGCCTGCAAATCTGCAGCTGTAGGACAACATAGGGCATCCTTCAAAACATGCAGAGGATGCATCACCCTAGCTACAGGCCTCCTGCAAGAACCAGTCTACACCACCCAACCTCAGTGTTCTCTTCTGTCATGGCTGTTAAGCAATATCACTACACACAGTATTTATGGATTATGCATAGTTCTAGACTCAGCAATGACATCTGGATATCAAGTGTATTTTGTTGAGAACTGCAAGAAATTGAAAACTGATTGTATAGTCATCCATGTGCTAAGAATTTGATATATGAATTCATTTAAATAATCAAGATTTTCTGGTAAGTCATTTAGCACTAAACATAAGGCTATCACATAAATATTAGTCTATAATAGACAGGATTGTAGTGTTCTTTACACATGTGGAGGTGTATTTTGTTCTTTTAAGAATGCTTTCATACTGGGCGGTGGTGGCACTCGCCTTTAATCCCAGCACTTAGGAGGCAGAGGCTGTGAGGAGGAACTCTGTGAGTTCGAGACCAGCCTGGTCTACAAGAGCTAGTTCCTGGACAGGCTCCAAAGCTACAGTGAAACCCTGTCTTGAAAAATAAAAAAGAATAAGAATGCTTTCACATGTGATTATTATTTATTTAAACATAAAGTTATTTTAAATACTATGTGAGTAAGTCATACTTTCAAGAAATACATTTTACCAACGACCACAGGTTAGTTCTCTGTGTTTAATAAGAAAGTAAGGGGTATGGTAGAATAACAAAACCGAAGAAAGAGCATAGTGAGAGTACTAAAAGAAAAAAAAAAACTTGTGAGAAAGGTAAGTGCAGTCCTACTTTGCCCACACAGCCTTGCCTTGGGAAACAAAGATCACAATACTCTAGAACAGACGCAATGGGATAAACATTGCTGGCCTTGCTTCAAAATGTGTATGTTAAAGATTCAACTCCCAGCATGCTTATAATTTTCTAGAGGGTCTTAATGAGGGTAGTTAAGGTTAAACAATGCCATAATTGTGGAAAGTGGACAAGATTGATACACATAATAGGAGGCATGAATATTTTCCTTCCCTCTTCTGGCTGCTTCCTCCCACACTCTTCTCATCCCTCAGTCTCTTCTTCTCTTCCTCTTTCCCTCATTTTCTCTCCTTCCTTTGGAAAAGTCCACAGCATTTGCAACAAAACTGTATACTGTGAATTCTTCTGTGATAATTCCTCCTCTCTTCTCTTCCTTGGCACACATTTGCTAGAACACACTAAGTAGCTTAGGATAGCCTAGACCTCATGGCAGCCTCCTAAGTGCTGGCTTTATCATTATAGGTGTGAATCACGGCATTTGGCTCAAAGAGCAATTGTATAAGTGTCCAAAATGGAAAAGTCAGATTATAAAACAGTATAAAAACATTGGATAATCAAACACCATCATAACTTTCCATGGAAAGAGCATCTATAAAACCTTGGAAAATGAACTTGTGACTCAAATTTTTTTCCTCTACCAAGTTATATTTTAAATACAAGGTAGTATCTTTTAATACATATAGATATAGAGAAAATATATAACCAATGTGAAATCCTGGAACATGTAATACCTACTTTCATATCAAACGGGGTAATTAAACTGCTCATCACAGCGATTCCAGTGAGTAATTAGCTGTGTGAAGGCCTGGTTCTGTGTAGCTATGCAGAAGTTATTGCCAAAGGTTTGACAACGAGTACTAACTGACAAGAACACTTCAAAAAAGGTCACATGCAGTCACTAAAATTATAAGCAGGCATATAATTTCTTTTCATCATGAATATATAATAATAATATTCAAATTGTTATGTACTGACTGTGAAATGCCCCTCACAGGCTCATGAATGAGTTTTCTCCAGCTGATTGGACGATTTGGTATGCTTGTGGAACCTTTAGGAGATGAAGTTTAGATGTAGGAGGTAAGTCTCTATGAGCAGCCCTGTGTCCTGCCTTATCTGCCACTTCCTGAGCCACTAAGATGGAACAGTATCTTCCAAATGACCCTGCTCCATGAAGTGAGATGCCCTGCCATTCCTTCAGTGTTAAAATGAATTCATGTCATACAAAACAATTACCCAAATAAGCTTTTCCATGGGTTGTTTCTGTTTCTGTTAGGCATTGTGATCAAACAATAATTAATATACTGACATGATTGCCTGTGATTCATAGTTGTTAATTAATAGATGAACCTGAAATCATCGACACACTCGC